CTTCGCCCCTCTCTGTGATTCCTCACTCACCCTCCAAGTCTCAGCTGAAATACTGCCTCTGTAGGGAGGACTCTGACCCCCCTGGGGAGAATTAATTACTTCCTCCTCCAATAATAGCATCCAATACAACACGGTAATTATGTTGCATTATAATTGCTAATTTGTTTCCAGTCTGTCCTTCTCCCCAGGAGACTGCGGAGCCAGGGAGGGCAGAGACTTACTCAGTACTGTACCCCTGGCCACTAACACATGTATTGACACAGGGCAGGATTGTGGTGGTGAATGATAGGGGGTGGAGGAGGCGCTATAGACGTCTCGGATGCTATAAACAAAGAAGGAAAACATCTTGGCCCAAACAGAAGTTTCTCCTTCATCATTTCCTGCCTGGGAGGCTAGGTAACACCTGCTTCAAAGGAACCTGATGGGTTTGAACAAATGCGCTGCTGAATAGAGCGTTGTCCTTCAGGCGGAGTTTAGCACAGGGGACCCTTTAAATGATGAATTTCTTCAGTGTTCTCCAAGGCAAGAGCTGCATCAGGCAGGGAACTCGAACTCAGGCCAGCAGACTTGTGCACAAAGTTAGGGACGTCTGGTGAAAGGCTAGTTAGGTCCGCAGCATTCTCTCCTTGTCTGCACATACTTTGCACTGGAGTTCACCAGACACAGGCATCTGGAGAGTGCCAGAAACCAGATCAGCAAAAACATATCCGGCCTCGAATCCAGCTGAAGGGAGGAAGGGCAGAGAATCATAGCAACAGGCAGGGGTTTTTGTGTTTTTTTGTTTGGTTGGTTGGTTTTTCATTACAGCATCATCCCCAATGTGTAGACCAGTCCATGGCGCATACCTGATACCCAAAAAATACGTTAAATGAATGTACGACTAGGGGACTCTACAATATCACTGGGTAAGACATGAGATGAAGACATGATAGCACTGTAGTTAGAAATAATTCTCTCATAAGCCACTAAGAGTTGGTCTAGTGGGTGAGTCTCCCAAGAGGCACACTCACATAACAGCAGATAGTGACCGAACTGCTGTCCAAAGAGTGCGGGTCCAATTAACTAAAGGCCTTTGGTCTAAGTGGAATATACACGTTCCCATCTGGGCACCAAAGGACAACTGCCCAGCTTCTTCCTTTTCCACCATTTTCCATGCAGTATTCAGCCTCTGTCTCAGGAAATTCTGTGAATATTTAAAGAACATTTGCTACAAATGGCACAAAATCATTAGAGAGCCTGCGGTGACCACATAGCCTTGACCAGCAGTTGATCCGGGGCCATTTTTAAGGGTTAAAAGATGCACAAGATTTTTTTTTTTTTTTGAGTGCTACTACACTGTTTCTTCAGGTTGTTTTTGCATGAAAAATCTCTGCAGGTGGGCTATAACCATAATTTTAAAAGCTTGGCCATATGGGAAGGAAGCTAACATTTATTTGATGCCAATCATATGCCAGAATGCAATAAACTAGACACTTTTGTTTTATTCAATCCTCATGACTGCACTATGAGGGAAGTGCTATACCCCTTTTGCAGATAGGAATTGAGGCTCAGAGGTAATCCGTAACTTGCCTAAGCTCATCCAATCTGTCACAGGCTGGCGGATGATTCCACGCCAACTCAACACATAGCTCACAGATGGGCTTCAGAAAACACTCGTGATTTTAAGAGAAGCAAATCCTCTTGATCAATACATTTTCCTGACTTTCAGAAACGGACACATTTGATTGGGCGTACCAAGATTGGCCTGGCACAGAATGACAAAAAGACCTGTGACTGCTCGGAGGAGATGAGGTAAGCCTCCAAAGCATATTTTCCCAAGGCCCCAGTAAGCCTGGCCAGTCTATTTCGGCTTAAGCCTTCTGACTGCAGTGAAAGTCTGAGTGATAATGAGCTGTGTAGGAGAAGGAGAGTGTTCTGTTGTGTTGAACAGGCCCCTGATGAGAATAGCTTAACTCCCCTTGCAAAATGGTTGGAGTGCAGTGGCACTGTTTCTGGGGAAAATAACATCACCAATCCATCGCAGGGATGTAGGTGGGAATGGCACAGAACGTAAGAACATGTTGGCACTATCTGTTTAAAATAGCAAAAGCAGCAGAAAGACATGAACACAGTCATTCTAACCTTGTTAAACTAAAAACATTCCTTGGGCCCTCTTGGGAAACTGTATTGCGCTTCAGAAGGAGGGAGGGGAACCAGCTTCTTCGTGGTCAGTTGCATCTGGAGATACTCCTATTCTACTCTTCCTCTAACTGGCATAGGAGAAGAGCAGACACAACCCAAAGACACCCAGTCAAAATGCGGAGGTTTGGAGTACAAACCTTATTACTTATTTTTAAGAGGTCTTCCTTTGGGTAGACCCATCAATAAACCTTTAACCAGGAACTGTACTCCTGAGAATGAAAACAGACTCCAGGCTTCCTGGGTTCGATCCAGTTCTGCCACTTACCTTGGACAAGGAAACTAATTCATCTGTGTTTTCTCATCTGTAAAATGGGGATAATAAAATTATCTACCCATAAGGATTTTTGTAAATGTTCAATGAGTTAATCCGTACAAACTAGCAGTCCCCAATACACGGGAAGCCCTCAATTTATTATCATTACCTTATGGACCCAATCATAAACATGGACAAAGCTATGCGCTGGTATCACTGCAGTACTGTTTATAAAAAACTGGAAACAAGCTAAAAATGCAAAATTGAGTGAACGATTAAGCAAAACAGGCTGTATTATCTCCAGTCCAGAAAAAAAGGTGGGGCCACTGAAAATTCTGGCTATGAAAACTATGTAATATTTTGTAAATGTTTATAAAATAAGTGGGGGAAAAAAGCAGTACACAGAATCACATATATGGCATGTTTACAGGAAATACATGAAAATGTATTAGGATGAATGAACTCTGGGTGATTTAAAATTTTTCTGTGCTCTATTTTCCCAAGTGTTTTATACATTTTCAGAGTAAAGATATACAAAATAGTATTTAAACCTTATGTTAAAGTTGCCGCTTTTTGAGTGTAATCTACACTAAGGCTCAAGGGTTGCAGAACTGTTATTTTTATTTTATTAATATGTTCAGAAAAAGAGGACCTAAGGGAAGTAAGGTAGGTAATTTTCCAGGCTTATAAATCATTGATAGTTGGTTCTCCGGAAGCTTCAATAAATAAGGCTGGTGTTTTTCCTTATTTAGGATACACTATCTAGGATTTCCATGACAATTACTCATCAACTTTCCTGTGGTTGCCATGAACGTTCTAGATGACCCTCCGTCAGGAAGCCAGTAAGGCCAAGGAAGCTAGAAGTAGGCTCCCGGCAGGCAGTTAGAGCCTGCTACAGTATTCATGACAAGAGGTGCTCCGTCCAAACCACTTCATTGTCAGTCTCTCTCCTCCAACCCGCCCTCTTCCCTCTCGAACGGTGAGCCCACTGCTTTGCCACAGGCTGAGGACAGAGGTGGAGGAGACTCAGTCCTGCCTTGAAGGAGGTCAGCCCTGGGAGCAGAGCAGCAGACTCAATCCTAACGCAATGTGACAGGGGCCACCCTATCAGTGCTGTACAGTCAAAGGGGAAAGCATCTGATGGCGGTTGGGAATGAGGAAATGTTTGCCAGGGTAGGAGAAAGGCTGCGGAAGGGCATCCCAGGCTGAGGAACAGCAGCTGCAAAAGCACCAGGAGGGCACAATGTTGGGGGGGAGGTTGTGAAACTCACTGTGGGGCTTTAGTCCGAGAGGGAGGATGAGGAGTCGGCACGTGAAGATGCCGGTGGGCTGGCCTGAGTCGCAGGGGCTGAGTCAGTGGACGTTTTAAAGCAGGGGACAGCCATGCTTGACTCTACTTTGGGACGATAATGCTGGTTGCAGTGTGGCGGCCGCGCTCATTTGGGGGGTGTACCCAGGGGCAGGGGTACAGCGGAGGTGGCTAAGCAGTCTGAGGGCTGCTCGCAAGGGCTTGGCAGGGCCTTGAAGAGGGACGGGGGGGGGGCGGTGAGCAAGCAGATCAGGGAGTTGTGACTGAGGCAGAGGGGACAGTTCTGGCTGACTGCCTGGATCTGAGTGTGACACAAATCAAGGATGGTTGGAGGCTCTGGCCATGGCCTGAACTGAGACAGGGAACTTCAGAGAAATGGGCTTGGTGGTGGGGGAAGGAGGGAAGATAATGAACTCAGTCTGGGACAGGTTGAGTGGAATGTGCCAAGGGGCATCTGGGCAGTTGATGAGAGAGGTCTGGTCTTTAGAAGATAGCTTTAGGCTGAAGATGCTGATCAGGAAGGGGAGAGCACAGGAGTGGGCAGATGCTCTAGAAATAGAAGAGGCTACCCTGGTGGACTAGAGGCCAGAATTAGAGGGAAGAATGATGCTTTAAGACACTCAGTCTTCAACATTAGGTTTGATGGAGGGTTGCCTGAGGGTTTTTACTGAGGCTCTAAATGCCATCCACGCTAAATGAATTTTCAGTTCAAGTTTGATCCGTTTGCTATTGCTGACTTTGAAAATGCAGTTGTGTATATGGTGACCTGCTTTCCTGTCCCAGCTCCCCGACTCTGGAGGAAGGAGTCAGACCTCTCCGACTCTGCTTCCTGTTCTGTAGAAAGGGGGAGAACAGCATCGAACATTCCCTTCATTTGCAATATGATGTATGTCTGGTTGCTGATATAAAATTGTGTAACCTCAGTCCTGTGGTATAGTCTATAAACTAAACCAAAAGGATTCTCTTGGTAAAGATACATCATTTATAAAATTTACAATATTTAGGCCCCAACTAGCATATTTTTTAAACTGAAAACGTGCTGATTTTAATGTCTGAGCTGGCTCTGGCATTTCAATTATTAAAAAATGGACTAGAAAGTTCTAGATGACAGGGCGCATTTGTTTCTCTTTCTATCCTGACTTCTCCCCCCCGCCCCAAAAAAAGGCTAGTATACAAATTACAATGCTAGATGAGCTCAAGCTCTCAGACATGCATTATCATCTTCACAGCCATCTAATTTAGAGACAGTGGAACAAATCCAAGTAACAATTTTATTCTAGTCTACAGCACATTTTTTTTTACATACATTTTAGTGGTTTCGACAGTGTTACTTTTGAGCAGACTTTAAATGAATCCACAAAAGTTAATATGTTAAAAACAGAATAAACACAAAACAACAGGCATCAGGATGTTCAGAATCATGCAGATAGGAGTGCTCTGGTTGGGTGTGATCACTGGGCACCTTGCCTATTTAAGAATTTACCAGCAAATACCAGTTCTTTATACCCATGTAATTCACCCAAATCAGGGAGTTCTAAATATGCACACCCAAAATAAACCCTCTTTTAAAGCCACAACAGTACAAAATTTCAATGAATAAGTCTAAATGTGTCATCAAGCCAATTATTCCACTGATCAAACCCAAATCTAGCAGTCAGTATCAGCAAGGATCTAAAGGCAAGGTTATTTCATTTATTAAAACACCAACAGGAGATTAATAAACAAAATAACTAATGTTAATCTTAATATAAGACACTGAAGGAAAACCAAAAATAATATATTAAATACCACTCCATTGAGCCAGGATACAACCCATGAACTACAGATACATGTTTCTATCTGCCAAACAATGCTTTAAATATTCTTCTATGGAAAAGAAAAAACTCTATCAGGAGGTACAGGGGAAGGATAGGAATGTGAATTTGTGCACCTAATTCCACAACTGAAAATGAGTATCAAACTGATAATATTAAGCTAAGTGACAATGACTTAACCGACGGGCATCAAACAGGCAATACCACTATTCACTGTAATTCATAACACTCTTCAGAGTCTTCAGTGGATGACCACTCCAACAACACCATCATAATACAGATGTGAATACTCATCCACTGTTGAAAGAGATCCTGAAGAAAACATGGCAAAGGCATAGAGAAAAAGTTGCATCTTTTGAAAAAGTTAATGATATCAAAATACTTTTCCATCACTGGTAAACCAAACTAGGTCAAGTATATGGCCCAAAGCAGCATGGAGTTCAGAGTCAGAGGTTGGCAGAAAAGTTTGGAAAACCACAATTTTTAAAAATTGGCAATTTCTCTATGCTTAATAAAACTATCAGAAGAGGTATAATGTTCGTTTGTGGAATGTTGACAGCTTGCTGAAAAATTCACGTGAATGAGGAACCGCAGAGATGCGCTTCAATGAAGTCGTCTTTAAAAATTTACAAAAAATGAAAATTTCTATTTAAAAAATAACCATGTTATGCCAAGATGAAACATGGTAAAAGTAGTGTTAAGTTCTGTCCATGATTCTTCACACAGTTAACGGGAAAGTGATAGAAACAATTTTCTCTTAAAAAGGAAGCTTTGTTGTTACACTGACTTTTACAATCTGACCTAGTAATTTAGAAAAATCATGTAGTAAAATCTGTAAAATTAAAATACAAAATTCTGTTTTGTAAACATCGGTTGGCCAAGTCTATCCGGAGTCCTTCATGATAGTGGAATGGAATGAATAATTAATTCACTACCTTATTTATCTGCTGTGAGGGGGAACATTCCAGAACACAGCTTTTGTACTTTCACAGTAATTATATTCAAAAGATAAAGAAAGTCAGTGCAGTTGTCTTTTTTTTTTTTCCCTCTGTGCAATTTTCAGCTCTTACCCCACTCCCAAGTGCCATAATTGAAATAATACTGGTTTCGAGACCTAGTACAGATGGGTCATAAATGCCGCATAAAGTCTGTAGGACTTCGATAAAGGTATTTCCAAATGGCATAGTAATGCACTGCAGCTGCCGTGGCCACAAAGAGGTGCCAGATGGCATGGGCAAAGGGAATGATGCCATCACTCTTGAAGAACACAACTCCCAGGCAATAAATTAAGCCCCCACAGGCAAGTTCATGAAGTCCATCCGTGTTATTCTGTCAACAGAGGAAAAAAAGAAAGAGGTTGTGATGTTACTCTCGATGTGACAAACTAGAGATCATTGCAATTCCCCCGCAGCCTGCTGATCTTCTAGACAACGAAGGAGCCGCACAGACAGCATCCTGCTCAGTAAACATGAACTAAACTGAAAAGTCTCTCATCTGTCAGGCTGGATTACCCTTGGGGGCTGGCGGTCTTGACTGGCAGAGAAGTCAGGTTACAGGCCCCACGGTGAAAAGCAGCAGCCTCTGCTCATCTATGGCATGCTGAAGCCGACTGCAATCACACCGAGACACAGGAGTTCAGGTTAAGAAAGTACCATCTTTGGCTTTCACTTTCTCCTTTAAGAGCTTTCTTCCATCCTAAGGCGCACCCACACCACCGCATTTATAATTGACATCTCGGCCTATCCTCCTCTCAAACTGTTCTACGCTGATTGCTTTTCCAAGACTTCCCCTGCTTGTGTGAGCTTATGGCTTCCTTATGGCTGACATGGGCAAATCACAGCTACAAGTGACCTCGGAGATCAGACAGCACGTTAAGGATAACATACTTCCTGACCTTCTAGATGTTGCCAGGCCTTTAGGTCTGTGAGCCTAGGCGTTTCTGAGCTCAGCAGGAAGTTAAAAGTCACATGTGCTTTAACACAAAAAGGAGAATTTTTAGGCTGATCTTGGTTTTCCAAGACCTAGGCCCATCTTCAAAATTAAAGTGGGCTATATGAATGAGGGGAAGAGAACAGAGGCAAGGCTTAGGAGGCTGATGAACAAGTCAGTCCCCCAGATTCCTGAGGACTAGGAATAGAAAGATCTCAGGTTCTGCAGGGTGGTGAAAACCTAAGCCAGACTGTGGCAAGGCCTTGGAAGGGGATGCATGTGTGGGTGTCTCAGAGGCCTGGGCACTGACAACTGCACACTGATGAGCCCTGGAGCCTTGGACTGCGGCCAGGTCCAGCTGGGAGCATGGGGAAGCTCTTATGCAGCCACCAACTTAAAGCCCTATGCACCTAGACAGTGGCAGCAACAGACAACCACGAGCTCAGAACCAGGCGTGAGGATCTAGGGCCACAGGTGGGGATCAGTCCTTTCTTCAAAGTTCAGGTAAGTCCCCACGGTTTTTGTAAAATCAAAAGATGGGGAAGGAGCCAACCCAAATCAACTGGTAATGGGTTTATTAACCTTTGTAAGATGTAAAGTCAGCCAGACTGATTTTTATCAAAAACAAACAAAAAAACCCCCAAATACCACACATTTATTATTACTTTAAGGTTACAAAACAACTGATACCTATTATTATACAAAATTCTCTGCGTATGTGCATTAGGGACATATTTCTAGAAGGTCTTCATCAGATTCTCAAAGGGGCATATAATTCCCAAACAGTAAAAAGTCACTCATCTAACATAATTCATCCTCCTTATTTTAGAGATGAAGAGAGTAGAATCAGAGGAATGAAGTAACCTGAACAAAGCCATAGAGCTGGTCACTGCCCAAAAGATAGCACTCTTTTTTTCTTTCCACTGAAACAATAAGCAAGAGACCAAGCCACGTATAGAGATTGGTTCTGATATACATTCTGGTAGCAGATAGTTCCTCAAGACACCATATTTAACTTATTAACTTTCAGGGAACCAGACTATAGTGAATCCTAAAACAAAAGCTGTTTTCTTCATTGCCTGTGTCATTGCACTTTTATTCTATCCTAGGCACTGTTCGAAGTGTACCCATGTTTACTCATTTAATCTTCACAACCCTAAATTAGGTACTGTTAGTATCCCAATTTTACAGATGAGAACACTAAACAGAGAGAGTACATAATTTGCTCAAGGCCACATAGTGTTTAAGTGTCAGAATCAGGATTTGAACCAAGGTGGTCTGGTTCCTGAACTTAAATTCTTCTTTGGGGGAGGGGGAGGGAAGAGTGGAAACGGGTCATTATTTATTTATTTATTTATTTATTTATTTTTAAAGATTTATTTATTTGAGAGAGAGAGAATGAGAGAGAGACAGCACGAGAGGGAAGAGGGTCAGAGGGAGAAGCAGACTCCCTGCTGAGCAGGGAGCCCAATGTGGGACTCGATCCCAGGACTCCAGGATCATGACCTGAGCCGAAGGCAGTCGCTTAACCAACTGAGCCACCCAGGCGCCCCGGAAACGGGTCTTTTTTTAAATTGATGATTACTTTACAGAGTGTAATACATAAATACTAAGTGAACACCATGGGTCTTGATAAATGCATACATCTATCTAACCCATACCCCGATCAAGAGAGACCACCTACCCCAACACCCCCTCCCAATCCTGGACAATCTCTTCCACCAAAGCAACCATTGTTCTTACTGCTGCTATCACCACACACTAAGTCTGTTTTAGAACTTCACATTAATGGAATGATACTGTATGTCTATTTTTGTATCTGGTTTTTTTTTTTTTAAGATTTTTTCATTTGAGAGAGAGAGAGGGAGAGAGTGCACAAGCAGGGGGAGAGGCGGGGGGGGGGAAGCAGACTTCCCGCTGAGTAGGGAGCCTGATGTGGACTCAATCCCAGGAACCTGGGATCACAACCTGAGCCGAAGGCAGACGCTTAACCATCTGAGCCACCCAGGCGCCCCTGGCTTCTTTTTTTGCTCAATATAATATTTCTGAGATTCCTACATGTCTTAGCTATATCAATCATTCCTTTTTATTACTTAGCATTCCCTTGATTTATTTAATATAATTTATCAGTTCTTTCCATCTGGGGCTTTATGGAGGTCTTTTTGTAGATTATGTTTTCATTTCTGTTGGGTAGTACCTGTTGAGTCATAAATTTATGTTTAATTTTATAATAAATGGCTAAATAATTTTCCAAAATAGTTCTGCCATATTATACTACCCCCAAGAATGAGTTGGGGTTCCAGTTATTTCACATCTTTGCCAGAATTTGGTGCTGTCAGTCTTAATTTTAATAATTCTCCAGGGTATATTCTGGTAGCACATTGAGGTTTTAATTTTCATTTCCTGATGACTAATGATGTTGAGGGCTCTTTCAAGGGCCTATTGGATATGTGTGTACCTTTGTGAAGTATCTGTTCAAGTGTTTTACCCATTTTTATAGGACTCTTTATTACTCATTTGAAGTATTTTATATAGTCCATATACATGTCCTTTGTCAGATACATACAGAGAAAGCAAGTATTTTCTCCCAGTATGTAGCATGTCTACACATTTTCAAGTTCATTGATCTTTTCTTCTGTAGTATCCAATCTGTTGTTAACCACTTCAAAAAATTTTTGTTATCATATTGTTTTCAGGTCTAGAATTTCCACTCAGTTCCTTTCTTGTAGTTCCATTTCTTTTCTGAGATTCTGCATTTGTTTACTCATTACGTTTTAAAGGCCTTGTATGCTAATTTCAACATCTCTGTCATCTTTGTATCTGTTTCTATTGACTTGTGTTTCCTTAGGTGCGTGGTGTCACATTTTCTTGCTTCTTGCTTATCTACTAATATTTGTTTGGATAAATGGATGCCAAGCTGTGAGAGTATAGATTTTGTTGTGTTCCTTTCAATAATGTTGAGTTTTGTTCTGGTAGGCAGTTTATGTACAGAGGATCAATTTTATCCTTTCCAGGTTTGTTTTTGGGCTTTGTTATGGCAGTTCCAGGGTAGTCCTCATTCGGGAGCTGGAGTAGTTCTCCTAAGTGTGGAGGTCGACTTGCTAGGTTCATTTGAACACCTGAGTTGCTCAGCATGGTATCTCCACTGTGGCTGGTTGGCCTCTGATATCTTCCAGCACCAGGCACCTCTGGACTCTCCATTATCCCACAGCTGTCCCACAGCTGTCCCACAGCCACTCGGCCAGGGCATGCAGAGACTTGCCCTGCACAGATGCAGTGTGGTATTTGGGCAAGGACTCAGGGAAACCCCTTTGTAGATTTCTGGAGACACTTCTATGTGAAGCTCCCTCTTCTCCAGAATCCTCCCCCAAAACTGCAGCAGGCTCAGTAGCTAAAATACTGATTTGTTTCCTCCACCCTGACTGCTGCTCTCTGGCTCCACTTTATTTTGTCGCAGTTTGGAAAGTGTCCCCAGGGAGAAACCTGGGGCAAATTTGAAGCTCATCTTTTGGTTTCTATTCCCTCAAGGGACACAGTCCTGTGTCTGTGGTCCAATGCCAAGAAACAGTTGTTTCCAATACTTTGCCAGTTTTTTATAATTCTTTATGGCAGAAGAATAAATCTCTGATAGCCCAATATTCCAACCAGAATCAAAGCTTTGAGTGTCCAATCACACTGTTTGTTAGTTCACATGGCTTATGAGGTTCTTTTTGATCTGGTCTCTGTCTAGCTCTCCAGCTTTATTACAAGACTTATGCTATCTGCATAATTACCCACCTCAAGCATAGAGGCACACTCCAACAGGTACACACATTCATGTTCCAAACAATGAACTACTTTCAATTCTTAAAGGTGCTAGTGCTTTCCCCCTCTCCAGGCCTGCCTTCATGCTATATTCTTTCCTGTACAGCTTGCAACATCCCTCCTATCCCTAGGCTCTCTTCTGTCTTTATGAATCAGCTTGAACATCATTTCCTTTAGTGCTTGGGTCATGTGCTCCCATAGCAGCCTATGTTTTTCCCAATCGAAGACATTATAAAACTTTATGATAGTTTCTTATTTAAAATGAACTGTAGGTTCCTGCTTGGTGCTGAGTTCTACCGGGGGGAGGGGGGTATGTGAGGATTATCCTGTTTTGACTATCATAAACGTTAGGCACTGACTATTGTATGACTTGTGAAAATGCCAAGATTTAGGGTAGTAAAAATACTGGATAAACCTGCTCTTATGATACCCCAAGGGAATTTATTTGATGTTCTACTGTAATGATTAGTAACCTACACACACAAACCTTGCTTATGTGCTTTGGGTGTCCTGAATTGCCCTCTAACTATATGGCCTTCAAGGCAGATTTTCTCGTTTCCATCATTCACCTCCTTCCCTTCACTCTTCCCTGTTGCCTTTACCAACTAAATTATAATTTATTTTTGGTGCTAGGTAATTATTAAAGCTACGATAAAGCTCTTACCTTAAAGAAACATATTTTGACACATTCTCGTAAGACCTATCCTCTGAAAAAAACAAGCAAACCTGTAACTTCTAAACCTTTTACAGGTATTTTTGTGACCAGGTAGGGGCTATATACATTCTTAGCTCATAGGCACAGGAGTGAAATTATAAGTACAATTCTTCTGACCTTTGTAGACTGAGAAAAGAATTCAAACTAGACACATTATGAGTTCCTTAATTAATATAGGGGCTAATGCCAAAAAAATGCAGAGCCTAAGACACTGGAGCTAATGGCACAAAATAACCAGTTGGATGGGATCACAAGGCTATAATGATATGCTTTTCTTTCAAATTGATACACACAGATTTTCAAAAGCAATTCAATTTGAAAGGAAGTTCAAAGCATACACACTGACTGCCTACTATAGGTAATGTTACTTCCACCCATGAAAGTCCTCAAAAGAAATTTTCAAGCAAAGTGTAAAAAAAAAAAAAAAAAAGAAAAGCACTTTCCTGAGAAAGAGAAATAATATATGTGACTTAAAAGCAAGTGAAAGAAAAGTAAGAGTGAAGACTTTTGGGAAATACTAAATAAAATGTTGACACAACTGACTCTTGTGGTCCTTCTAATTCTTAAGATTTAAGAAGTCAATAATTTATAGGTTTTTTTTTCATGGTAAGACATCAAAAAAAATTTACCCTCCTCCATGGATTTATAGTTAAGACACTAAATGATTCAGGCAAAAATACTTATCTGCAGGTGACCTCATGCCTCTTTGGGAGAAGGGTGGGGTAGGGGTGGGGTGAACAGAATGGCTATCCAAAAGCAACACATAGAGAAGATGATCATATGGAAAGAAATATACTTCAGTATATAACTTCTCCAAACTACAACCAGGAGCTAGTATAGATTGCAGGCACTTTGTTATTTATATACTTTTTCTTTGGAGTTAATGGAGATGCCATAACTTCAGAAAGAAAAGCTACATGTCATATCTATGGACCAATGAAAAGCCCCAGCAATTTAAAAGGAAATAAGGTGAAATAGTTAAAATTATGAAGCCATTTCTTACCATTGATGTCACCACCAAAGCTGGAGAAAACCCCATTGTGAGATAGAAAAAGAGCTCAACCACCTTATACCTGCAGGATAGAAAGGCCGTTAATTGTATCTATTCCTACAATACTTATGACAATTTCCATTCCAGCTCCCCCCACCTTTTTTTTTTTTTTAAAGAAATGCAAACTCTTAAACTATTCCAAAGAATATATTTTCCCAGGAGACCATTAGGCCTCTAATTAAAATACTATAGTTGAGTCACAATGAACTAGCATTTCTTACAGGATTGAAATGGCATCAAACGCCACATGCGACTTGGAAAATGTTTGCTACAAAAAGTGTTATTACTGCATCCAATCCACCATGCATTTTCCCCCTCCCAATCCCAGAGTGTTTGCCCTCCTCACCACTCCTATCCACAGCTATAAGAAACTGAAATTATGAAGACAGACAGGGATGCTGCGTGGGGCCGGGTTTATCAGTGGCAAAGGGATGTTAGCCCTAAGGAATGAAGGGCATATAGTTTTGTTTGTCCCTTTATTTTGCATCTGCACAAACTCCAACTTGTAAGGCTCATCGCATTAGGCTATAGAAGGTCTGAAAATGCTAAGAAATACACTGTGCTAAGATTCAGCTCACGTTTCTGCCTAATCAAAGTAGGCTCTAAGTTCCTTAGAGGCAGGGGCCAAGTTTCGTTTATGTTCGTATCTGCAAGGCCTAGCATAGTACCTGGCATGATTTAGGCACTCCCTAATACTGCCCAACCAAATGGTCAGGGGCCAATCACATCTCATTGTCCGTGTTTTATACTCAGAGTCCACTATGAAGTAATCTTATCAGGGAACTGGGGAAGAATGGGTTTGTGGGTTTGGTGTAAAAGGAGGCCTGGAATAGGAGAAAAGACAGCTATTTTATCCAAGGATATAAGTTAGGTGTTTGAGCCCAAGAAGCAAACTGTTTCCTCGAATTTATATATATACTATATAACACCACTCAGAATAACTAATTGTGGTCAAAAATGCAACTTAAGTGAATTTCAAAGTCATAAGTTAGTGAAAACTGCCATTTTCTTCTGAAAAGAGGAAACAATTTAATACTTTGTGATAAACACAAATTATGTTCAATTCTTAGAGCCATTCTGCCAATGACAATAGATAAGCTAATAAATTGTACTCAAGGACAATGATTTCATGCTTGTGAGTTTCTCAAATTCAGGCACGTGAAATAAGGAAAAAAGCCATGGGGTAAGAACTAGGACTCTTGGGTCCTAATTCTAGATGAATCACTAATTTGATGCACATCCTAAATGGTCTCATTTTTTTAAGCATGAAGCTGGAATAGATGACTCTGAAGGTCTCCTCTAGAGCCGTGATGCTAAATTTCAGTAAGCTTTCCTTTTTATATTTGCTTAATACTTATGACTATGGACTAAAAATAACAGGTTAAAAAATGTGCCCCATGGTTAGGATATTAAGAGTTCAGATGCTCTTCCAAATATCCCCTTTCTCAGGGAATCCTAGTTTGGAACATCTTCTGGGTTCCCATCTAGGTAAGTGTTGTTCCAGTGCTTATCTATTATCTTCAGTCTTCATTGAATGCTCAAAAAAGCAGTTTTTATTCTCATGTGCTAAGTATGGATCACAGAGTTTTAAGGCTATTTTGCTGCTGATAAGGCCAGTCGCCTGAGGATGTGAAGTGACATCCGAATGACTAAAATGGTAGTCGGTCTGTCCCTCAAATGCATCCTATCATACATGTGCCATTTAGTTCTTCCCACAGCAATCTGTCTACCAATAATGAACACCAAATGGCTTCAAAGATTTGCTAAAAGCAATATATATTCTATTTATGTATTTCTACTATTCTGAAGTGTAAATATAAAGCAAACTGTCGTAACGTCAACAGAATTTAGGTAGTTAATTTTAAAACTATCAAATGTAAATTATTTTCTCTTACTTTTCATGGTAGAGAAATACATAAATGGTTCCTCCAGCTGCCATGAGCCAGATAAACCAACGCATATGAGATGCCAGGGGTCCAAGTTCACGGAGATTTAACCTAAAAAATTGTAAACATGACAAAAAAGAACAGAAGTGATAAATGAAGGGAATTCACAGGACCTGTGTTTTCCTCTAGGCTTGAAAACTGGGCAAGCAAGTACTAGCATAAAACCAGGATGAAAAGGCATTCAACATGCCATGGAGGTATTCAGGCAATTTAGGTAAAATTAATAATTCAAAGATAAAATTGTTAGTTGACCTTTGACTTAGAATTAGTTCCAACGTGGTTTAAAAATAGAACCAGCTAAAAGGAGATATGCAGAAGTGAGTCCCACCACACCTGTGATGCCCAACTTCCCTTATTAGGCAGACTGCTGTCAAATCAGCTTAATTCTGATAATGTATTTGGGAGCAGATTGCTTACAAAGCTTAATGAGTACCCTGAACAGAATCCTCAACCAGGATCCCATACCCACAGCAGATACCTAATACACAGACCCAGTATCTCCATTACCAATATACCAATATCTCTGCCAAGGGAGAACATGAGAAGAGTTAGCTCAACATATGTTATGAAAGACATTTTGTCAGAATTTAACTGTGGGCTCTTGTAAAGCTTGAATTTTAAGATGCTGCAAATTCATTTCTACTCATTTCATATTAAGAATAGCTATGATAAAAAAAAAAACCCAAATGTTATTCTGATTGGCTATGAGTACAAAATTATTATTTCCAAACAGGAAAGGCACTACCTACCTATTGAAAACAACAGGTGAACAGGTTGCTTACTGTAATATTTGATTCCTCAGCTTTTAAAAATTTTATTTCCTTATTTTAAGTCAGGGAATACTTCCCAAAAGTCTGTAAGTATTCCTGCTCCAATATGATGCAGAGCTATAATTTAGTGAGAAGTATTAGGGAGAAAAGACACTTTTTTATTCCAACAGATAATTAGGTTTCTTCTTAATGACTGATGCTGAGTAAGTTAGAAAGTAGAGGCCTGCTGTTTCTTGTGACTACTGCAGTTGAAATTCACAAAATGAATTTCTGAGTGTTTAAAACTGGACCATGTCTTGATAGAGGGAATCTAATGTTCCTTTAATCATAGGTTTCCAGGCAACAAAAGATTCTATCTAATCTATACCAAAAGGGCAGAAAGAGCAAAAATTGAATAGAATACTAGGTATTTTATTTTTTTTTTTAGTATTTCATTTTTATTTTTTTTAAGTAATCTCTACACCCAACATGGGGCTCAAATTCACGACCCCCTCCTCCCGCCACCCCCGCCCGAGATCAAGAGCTGCAGGCTCTACCCACTGAGCCAGAATACTAGGTGTTTTAAATAGCTAACTAATTAGTTCTCTTACTTGTACGGCTAAAGAAATGAGAAGTGCACTCCATATATAGTAGCTACTGTGCTGTGAAGTGAATTGTAGACAAATAGGATAAATTTCCAAAGTCAGCCTGTTTTCCTCACACATATTTACAGCATTTCCACTTAAATGATTAGATGTCCAAGTACTCTGAACAGCTGTAGTATATAGAAAGAACATGGAAGGCAAAGGTGACATATTTCAAAATGAGTGTGCTACCTACACACAAGTTCCTGGCACTTCCTCTTGAACAATCCAATGCCAGATATATATTCTGAACAGCAGTGACATTCTTCCCTTAAAATCTGCAATCTGGCCCAAGTGAAAAAAACAAACAAACAAACATGTATGCATGTGTTGGAGGGAGAGGGGTGGGGTATATGCATGGGGCAGGGAAAGGAGGAAGGGAAGGAAGGACAGAAATTCTATCCCAAAACACACTACCTTCAAAAATAGAAAGGCAGTATCTTACCATGGAGCGTAAGAAGCAGCAATGAAGAAATAAATAACCATTCTATCACACATGTGAAAACAATGCTCCACTGTCCTAGTTGGGGGAAAAACATGTTAGGCAAAGTTTTTAGAAAAGTTTCAGACTGGCAGCATGGGTTATCACTCCAGCATGTTGTAATTTCCACTCCTGTTCTAGTTTCTTGTGGAAGTTATAACTTGGCTTTCAAAGTCACACAGCTATTTTTTTTTATTTAAATTCAATTAGCCAACATATAGTACATCATTAATTTTTTATATAATGTTCAATGATTCATTAGTTGCATATAACACCCAGTGCTCATCACATCACGTGCCCCCCCCTTAATACCCATCACCCGGCTACCCCTTCCCCCCACCCCTCTCCCTTTTGTAACCCTCAGTTTGTTTCCTGGAGTCCAGAGCGTCTCATGGTTTGTCTCCCTCTCTGATTCCTTCCCGTTCAGTTTTCCCTCCCTTCCCCTGCGGTCCTCCACGCTATTCTTTATGTTCCACATTTGAGTGAAACCATATGATAATTGTCTTTCTCTGCTTGACTTATTTCACTTAGCATAATCCCCTCTAGTTCCATCCATGTCAATGTAAATGGTAGGTATTCATCTTTTCTGATGACTGAGTAATATTCCATTGTATATATGAACCACATCTTCTTTATCCATTAATCTTTACACAGCTATTTTTAATAATACAAAGCCACATGTAAAAGCTTTACATTATTTTTAAGCTTGCACATACAGTAGTCACCATGTATGAGATACAGGGGCAGAACCCCACAGTAATCAGGAGCTCTGAATTTATTTTGGTTAAAATAAACAAACAAAATCTGTGGTTAAAAAAACAAAATCTGTCTGGCTGATGTTTTCCATTTCTTTTAGATCCTATGTAATAGAAAAATGAAATTCCTTGAGGGCAGACCACCCCTCAACCCCCATCACTGTGCAGGGCAGGAAGTAGTTCTTCATCTTTCTAGAATGTCTTCAGAGAAGCTCTCACTTCAAATATCTTAGTGTAGACAGTAAGTTATAATAAAGGAAATTCAGAAACTAATTTAGGAACAGCAATAACCAAAAACAAAAAACAAAACAAAACAAAAAAACGCATTTGCTGCAAGCAGGTAGCCACCTGGATTTCTAAGTGGGTTCCTCCTTCCAAAACTGAAAATTCAGGAAGTGTACAAAGATCTGGCGTGATCAGTGAGGTCTAGTCACCCAACGGATTAGACAGAATCTGCCCTTTAATGAGGTGATTTAAAAGTATGAATGCATTGCATCGTCTTGAATCCATTTTCAGCATTCAAGGGTGATAGCTGTGGTTTGGTTTAGGGCTAGTGTTAGATTTTGCCTCACCACATACACAGTGTCAACCAAAGCAAGCTGAGGATGTTTCCATGACGGTTATTGTTCATCATGTTAGTGACGTGAAAATAATTTAGGTCACAGGTCTAAAAAAGCAAACACTAGATTAATGCTTCTCAAACTTGACTGCATATCACAATCACCTGGGAAGTTTATAAAATATAGCCATAAACTCTAGTCCAGAAGATTGTAATTTTTTAAAATGGCTAGAACATGGGGTATAGGGTGGAGGGAAGAAGAGAATCTTTTATTTAACTCTTTGGGTGATTGTGATTCCTAGCCAGGTCTGGAGCCTTTCTAATTCAGCTTTCTAGACTGTTATGCACTTGTTACAGCAGGTAAAGTCAGACCTATAATTTTATTCAAGATCCACCCCGGCTTCTCTGACCCTCACTTTCCTCACAGGGAAAACAGAAATGACAACATTTCTATCATACAGTATGTGTGAGCATTCAATGAGATCACGTAGAGCAGGTGTTCATTAGCACAGCTTCTAGCACATAGTAGGTACTCAATAAATGCTCATTCCCTTGCTTCTAAATAAGGCTATATTTGGATATTAAAAAAAATTAATCCAGAGCAAAAATCCACATGTGGCTTGATTCTAGCAGTGCTATTTCAAAGTTCAAGAGACCCTGGTTTCTATTACACCTTCTTCGGCCCCTGGGAGGGGGCCCTGAATACCGAAGGATTCATCTACAACTCTATTGATTCAGAATCTAGACATCAAAGCCAAGTCAGCCGAGGCAACCACAAGTGTCGGATTGTGCCAGGAAGATAATGAAGTACTCTGGCCTTTGGTCTCTGTGACAGTATGTGCTGGGGAGACAGGTACTTTTGAGGCTTGTGAATATACCCCAGCAAGCCCTCATGATTCAATGCTGTGGTTTTATTTTAGGCCCAAGGAACGGTCACCTAGGCACAGGTAGCAGGCTGTGAACTATAAGCAGTATTGAGATGGGTGTGGAAGAAAAACCCCTAGGACTGGGAGTCAGAGGTCTTAGAATGATCAGACTCTGCTCATCTCACTGATCTGAGCTTCAGTTTCCCCAGGTGAAAATTAAGGGGTTTGAATTAGAAAACCCCTAAGGATCCTTCCTGCTCTGAAACTATGATTCTACTTATAAGGAGACCAGTAATCATCTCACGAATCCCAAACCCTGTTCTTAAATAACACAGGTCTTTTTAATATTAGATTGTTTGAATTGTTTGAGATTTTTTTTGGCATTCTGTAAAACCAAAAGCTATATTCTATTATTTTAAAACACTCTAAGTCTGCTCTGAATCCTCCTTTTACGAAAAGAAATTTTGTGCTTTTGGGTTGTACGGAATGTATTCCATAAGCAACTAAATGGTGTGCTTCTCCCTTTGCATGCCCCAAATTAATCTTTCACTCAAAGGAGGAATGCTTTTATGTCCTTATTGGGAGTCTAGTGGGCCTGCTTTGGGTTGGAAAGTACCTGACAGCTAATATGTGAATTCTGTTTGAACAGATACACAGGACCTAATTCTGAAAGCTGAACTTTGCAAAACAGTAAACCCAAACTGCAGCAAACCTCCTTACAGGACAAAGTCCTGGTCATTTATAATTTTCAAATCATTTTGGCAGGCATTATCTCATCCACCCATCGCAGAACCCTGGAAGTCAGGCATTATTATTCTCGTTTTAGTGATGAAGAAACTGAGGCTCCCTGGGGTCAGGTGACTTACATAAGGCTGAGTGGCAGGGCCGGGCTGACTGCAAGTTCAGTGTACTCTGTCCCTTCTCCACAGCCACCGCGCTCTTACGTGTGCTATGCTTGACAACATTAAAGGACAGGTTTTCGGATTTTACGATGTGTAAGTCTTGGGGAAGCAGTGTGGTTTTGTTGGTGGCTGCTGAGAAAGGCCTGCTTTCTTAGATACATATGGGGGTCCTCTAAGTCTGTCCAATCCATTGGAAATTTCCTGAATAATGGCATAGCATCATAGTCTCTGAGGCAAGAAAATGTCTATCTACTCTGTAGCTTCAACCTGACTGAAACATGGCAGTAGGGGAGGCTACCCTGAGTCTGCTCTTCTGATCTGGTGAACTAGCGTGCCATCCACGGTACCTTAAGTGGCTCTTCTTCCACGACACAATGTGAAATACTGTGGAAATGATGAAGAGGGCGCAGAGGCCCACCCCGTAAATCCATGCGGTTATCTTTTCCCAGCGGTCGTCCGACAGCCGATGCAGGAGGGCACTGCCCACGATGGCCGGAACGATGAGGAACTGAGGGAACAGCGGAGAACAGTAAATACCCTGGGCTTGGCGAAACTGAGATCTCTGTTCAAAATACACAGGTTTCCCAGGGACAGTTTTAGAAAGATCGTTTTAAACATTTGCCTCTCGTGGATGCGGTGGTCGGCGACAGCATGGCTGACAGCGAGTGCTGTTCAGGGCCCAGGAACCGTGCCCACCACTGGGTACCCGAATAAGTGGTAACGGATGCAACATGACTCAACTGTGGCAGAGCGGATGTTTTTTATCCTAATTTCATTACATAAGAATGTATTTCATCCTATTCTCTAATGTGATTTAAAGTGGGTACTTAAAATATACACCACATATGCAAAATCAACTGTACAACTTGTGTTCTGATTGTTAGTATGGATCTGCACATTCCACCAATTTGGGAGGTAGTGCCAAGTGAAAGCTTTTCTGGGTTATTTATTTTTAATAGCACCTTTCAGGTAAGCAAGGGTAATCCATTCTCACCTACTCAAGCAATTTTAAGAGACCATAATCTTACAGAGAATTTTGCGTTCTGTACCATAGTTTATACTCCACATGGACACAAATTTCAATGTCCGTCATATGAGTACCACCACTAAACTTTTTTTTGAAGACTTCCTCTTTTTAGAGAAGTTTTTTTGTTCACAGTAAAACTGAAGACTAGTAAACATTTTATAATAATAAACATCCTCAGGAAAAATAAAGTACTTTATTAGATATTAGAATAAGCATACCTGGTAAAGAATGCAAACTTTAGCAATCTTATCTTTTTTCCCCAATACCTATTTTTGCCCTCTTGCAATAAAATATCATATCTCTAGATAAGATCAGCATTTAAGTTTCAAATGCTGAAGTCTTCACTGGCCCAGACGATATGAGAAAATTAATGACAATAAAGTAAGTTTTTTGTATTAGAGCTACCGTTCGATCCAGCAATTGCACTACTGGGTATTTACCCCAAAGATACAAATGTAGGGACCCGAAGGGGTACGTGTACCCCAATGTTTATAGCAGCAATGTCCACAATAGCCAAACTGTGGAAAGAGCCAAAATGCCCATCGACAGATGAATGGATAAAGAAGATGTGGTATATATACACAATGGAATATTATGCAGCCATCAAAAGGAATGAGATCTTGCCATTTGCAACGACGTGGATGGAACTGGAGGGTGTTATGCTGAGTGAAATAAGTCAATCAGAGAAAGACATGTATCACATGACCTCACTGATATGAGGAATTCTTAATCTCAGGAAACAAACTGAGTGTTACTGGAGTGGTTGGGGGTGGGAGGGAGGGGGTGGCTGGGTGATAGACATTGGGGAGGGTATGTGCTATGGTGAGCGCTGTGAATTGTGTAAGACTGTTGAATCACAGATCTGTACTTCTGAAACAAATAACGCAACATATTTTAAGAAAAAAGAAAAAGAAGAAGATAACAGGAGAGGAAGAAAAGGGGAGTATGTCAGAGGGGGAGACGAACCATGAGAGATGATGGACTCTGAAAAACAAACTGAGGGTTCTAGAGGGGAGGGGGGAGGGGGATGGGTTATCCTGGTGATGGGTATTGAGGAGGGCACGTTCTGCATGGAGCACTGGGTGTTATGAACAAACAATGAATCATGGAACACTGCACCAAAAACTAATGATGTAATATATGGTGATTAACATAACAATAAAAAAATTAAAGAAAAAAGTAAGTTTTTTGTAAGACAGAACTTAATTATTTTGAGATTATGTCCTTTCTACTTTCTCATGTTAAAGTATCCTCTCTTTAACGAAACGATGACGATGGAAGTGTTTTTGTTCTGTTTTGTCTGTTTTAGAAACTTTACTGCTCTCTGGAAGCCAAAAATCAGGGGTACAGTTTAGTAAGTTTAATAAGATGACATTTTCTGTTCTAAAAAATTAACACAGAGGTTTCGTCAGTTTTTCCCTTAACTTTGTTTTTTACAAGTATTCCTTAACTTATGACATACCCAGAAGAGATTAAGGGATCATTCAAGTCCATCCCCAGCAAATAATATTCCTAAAGGTGAGCTGTGCATCTCAGTAGCCAAACTATTATATTTAAGTGCTCAAGATAATGCTAAGTAACGAACACTTCATTGATTACTTTCATTGGTCAGTGGCACGGAAACTATCATGGCACTGGACCTATAACTTTCATGTGTGTTTTGCAGTTGGTAAATAGAAAAAATAATGGATGTATATTGGAGCAATGAGTGAAGGAAGAAGCCAAATAATTATTCAAACTTTTATATTCCTTATATCCTAATGCTGTCCTAGACTTAAATATACACATACAAACACAAAACTTTTTCTTATGGGTCTGGACAATTATCTTTGGAAATAATTTTACTTTTAGCTGTTAAATTCATCAAATATTTGCTCAAGAATAAAAGATGGAAATTCTGATAGGTATCGAAGACAAATCAAATTAGGCCATGCATTCTTTATTTAGTCCAAGTTGGTACTCTAAACATTTTGACCCTCTGCTCAAAGCTCACTCCACATAAGTGTGTCACTAAGCCAAAGACAGGGGTCAGCTCAAGTCTAAAGAATTCCACTAAATCCTTCCTGTTCCCAGAATCTAAGCCATGGGTCCAGGGAGACTCTCCACTGGAGAGGTTACTCCAAATTTCATTACTGAAGCTCTTTTACGTAATCCAGGGCAGGCGTGTCAGGTACTAATTTTTCCCTTTAGCAACATTCCAGCATATTAATTATTTAAATAAAAGTCTTTTTAGCACCCAAGGCAAAAGGACATCCAGTGATAAATTAGGATGATATTTCAGTATTAATAAGTATTATCTGAAGTCCACCATTACAATACCTAAAACAGATGCTTCATAAAGTTTGATTTATGCTAAGGAATGACCAAATGGCATTGTTCTATGAGATTATAGAGGATTCTACTAGAAATCAGTTTGGGGTTTATTTGGCATCATTGTTTCTTTATAGAAAACACTGTAACTATTCTTTGGGGAAGAGGATTAAAGACATGAAAAGGCACAACTAGAATTCAAACAAATTTCATTATAATGACATATGTACTAACACTGTCTTGTACTGTCTAAAATAATTAGCCTGTGCTAAGCACTCTTCATGAAAGGATTCAGTTGGGCTCCTTCTCTTTTTCTTATCTTCAGCTATATAGCAGCTACCTCCTTTCCCTCCAAAGTCTCACTAAATGCAGCTTTCAAAGGGAATAACGAAACCAGAGATAAAGGGACATTCATAATGACACAAGAAAATGTCAATAATGCGACCTTAATAGGAAAACTATGAAAATACATATTCATGAACACAACACGCAGATAGAAGAAATGCACCAAAGTGTTAATTTATTTCTGGGTAGTTTTGTTTTTCTTACATATTCTTCAGTGTTTTCTAAATTTCTTATAATGAGCATGTTTTGCTTTTATAAGGAAGAAAAACGTTCACTAAGAATTTAGGGATCAACTCAGCTTTTTCTTCAATGATGTGGAGTAACATCTGCTCTGAAAAGCAGTAGATGCTGTGGAGGTGGGGAGGGGGGTGGCTACCTGTTTCAAGGGATCACTTGGTAAGAAAACACCTTTTTCAACAACACCGTGAACTCTCCTTGCCACATGAACGCAGCTGACTGTCTTGAAAAGGTGATTCACTTCATTGCAGAGGTGACAGTCCTCATAAATAGTTGTCTTTTTGGTTTTCCTATAACTAGGGTACTTAACTATTATTCTTCTACAGAAGATCTTGTCAGAGAAAATCAGTTTAGGATGGACAGAGCTGGCCGAGCACTCAAAGGGTCTGATACGCTCACACAGCTTCTGGTATCATGACCCGACACTGATGCACTGGTGGGTGAGGGCACAGAGCTAGGTATATCCAACTAACTGGGCCGAGGGTACGAGTTACCTCCTCTCAGCAGAGCCTTCTGGGAAGGACACAAAGGGCAGAAAATGCGTACTCACTGCATGTGTGTAACAGTTAGCAGCATGTTCGTAACAGGTTGGTTTGTAGCGGCCATTGGCTGGGGCCCGGTGGTTCATGAACCTGGACAAACAAAAAGACATCACGTGAGACAAGCTCAAAGCATGTAAAGAACAATGGGGAAGGCTGCCAATATTGTTTAGTCTATTCTAATGGAAGAGGCAGCTGCTGGAAATACCTAGTTACGGGAACAAGACCAAAGCCACTGAACAGGTGTAAACTGAGCCAACAGCCATGATCCAAAAGCAAATGCCCTAGTTTATAGGATTAAGTATTCTTTCAGCTTATTCAAAAGAGAAACCTCTACCAACCAAAAGCAAACAGAAATCAATCATATCCACCCCCTTCAACTCATACTCCCCCATGCTAAAAAAAAAAAATACATATGAATAAAAAAAGGCACAACCAAATCTTAAATCTCAGGGAAAAAATTCAAGGGAATCTTTCTAAACTTTACAAATGCCAGTAACTGCCATTCAATGAAAAGGGATACAATGCAAGATTTCAATTTTCTCTCCCAAAATTTATAAAGCTTTACACATGGAGATATTTACACCCTACATTCCACAATTAGCAGGCCTGTCCAACTAGTTTCCCTATATTGCATTACCTGTTCCAGCACCAGACGGCTTAAATAAATGATACTTGACTGTCTCTAGGCCACCTAAACTAGAGGTATGTTTTTTACCTGGATTTTTTTTCCTGAGTTAAAACAGTTTGCTTTCAAACCCAAATATATAGTACCTGGTACCCTGGCTACAAAATTCATACATACATACAAGTGTGTGTATGTATCTAAATATCAAAGTCAGTTATACATATAGACACATACCCATATTCCATACTTCTCTTTGGGCCAACTTTGTGGAAAGAGCAATACAGTGAAAACTATGAATACCACGGGACCTGAAGATATGAACAGCATTCTTCCACTTCGGTAGGGAGTGAGGATCCTCCAAAACCCCACCCACGCCCATGCCATGTTTCATGAGGGATGCTGGTTTAGTCTGTTCTCTGGAAAAGGGGAGATGTAAATCCAGGAAGATAAAAAAGCAGCTGCCCGAAAGCAGCAGATGCAGAGAAACAGGTGAAAGAGCTCCACAGCACTCAGGTCTCCGAGGCCCCACTGCGTTCCTGTGCAAGACGTCAGCAGGTTTTGCGCTATAAATTATCCTTTTGCTTGAGCTACTTTAAGATGGGGGGAAAAGGGGGAGATTTTGTCATCTGCCACTAACGAGTTCTGACCAGTCACACCTTATTAATTACCATGATGAAAAATGGTACCAGGCTGAACCAAATGGCAAAGCCAGGTCTGAAGCACATGGTCAAGCCATCCTAAACAATGCCCGGCTTAGGAACAAAAGACTAGCATTTCTCCCTGAATTAAAAGTGTCTGTTATCCTTAGAGCAAATAAATAAAGAGAAAATGGCAGTTCCTGTCAACCCAATACACAGAGTTTAGGTGGAAAATCCAATGGGGAATGAATTTGGGACAGTGATGATATTTCACTTGGACCATCAACGGGTTAGTTATCTAACTAGTGTGCAGAATATATATTATTGAATGGAATTTGCCAGATGGTTTGAAAACTGTTTAAGAGAAAGGTACAGTTAACAGCTTCAGAATTTATCCAAGCTATTCTTGCACATAGATAAAATAAATCTTTTCTCCCCTGCTAATCCTTTAAGTAACTTTACTAATTTCCTAAGGGATAAGAGTGTTGCTACATAGCTCTTATTAGTAAAAAGGAAAATAATTGCAGTCTTGAGAAGAATGCTTTAAAAGCATCCCAAGCATTCAAGGATCTACCTCATCACTCCCAGACACAACAACAGACTTATAAGTAGCATACCCTATCAGGAATTTTAAAGGGTAAAGAGGAAGGCTCCAAGATGGTAGAGGGTAGATTAAATTGAGAGTGTTCTGTTTAGGGTGCAGTAAGTAGGGTTTGTCTACCCACCACCAGGCTGAAGACTAAAATAGCAATTTATATCTCTGGCAGCCCAATCTAAAAATAGTCAAGCCATTACAGAGCAACAGAGATAGACTTTCACATTTTCTCCTAAAAGCAAAGAAGCTGGGTGGCCATGTTTGTGACAGCTTCGTCCCTGCCCACCTGGAATCACTGAGAGTAAAAATAAACTCTTAAGTTGTAGAGAAAAATATCCCACCTACGTGACTTAAGGTAGTCTCTTACAGCCTGAGCCAGATTTGCACAATAAGGCAAGGGAAGAGCAAGACTGAGAGGAACCCATCACCGTCTGGGGCTCAGGGAAAACCACTGCACAATGTGTTCTGCTGAGAAATTTACAATGCAATCAAGCCTCCAACATAGCCTCCTGAAGAAATCATTCCTAAAACCTAAATGGAAAAGCAGAAGTAAAATGCAAATTTACTTCTACACGATGAACCTATTCTCTTCTCTTCTCCCAAAAAGAATGAGAAAGGTTCTCAAGTGTTACAGAAAACGGCAGTCATTCATGGAAGCCGCCTCTACCTAAGAAGTAACCCTAACGGTAATCTGATGCTAGAAGAGCATATCCAGCAGGTTTTACAGGGTTTGAGCGAAGGTAATTTAGTCCTGGATATGGGAAACACACTTTAATAAAGCTAGTATTTAATTTTTTTGAGGGGGGAAAGGCAGAGGAAGAGAGAATCTTAAGCAGGCTCCATGCACATCGCTGAGCCAGAAGCTGGCTCAATCTCATGACAGCCAAAATCAAGACTCTAATGCTTAACCAACTGAGCCACCAGGCCCCCCTAATAAAACTATTATTTACTCAGGTTTGTTCACTCATTTCCTCGCTTTCTCTTTCAACACCCTCTTGCTTCCCTCTTACCCAGCATTCTTAAACCCCAACCTCCCATGACAAAATTTCAAAACGCTGGAGAGAAAGAACAGATAGCCCAAAGCACTGTGCCTTCTGAAAGTAAATCTATGACCCACCAGCATATCTCTGAGGCCCAAGGTCAAATCCTAGAAGTTGTCCTTGATTCCTATGTCTTCCTCATTCTCTAAATACAAGTGTTGTCAATACTACTTCCAAATGTATTTCAGATCAGCCTAGTTCTCTACGGTCCCACAGACCCTACCTTACACATCAAGACATTGACATCTCTGGCCTCTACAAATACAAATCTCAATCAGTCTCCCTGATTGTCCCCATGTAGACTCTTTTCTTCATTCAGCAGCCACAATAGTCTATGAAAACCAGATCACAGCACACACCCCAACTCTGGCTTAAAACCTGCCTTTGGCTTCCCAAAGTAGCCCACAAGCTGGGCCCCACTGCTTCTGCAGCCTCAGGGGGCCACCTTCCTCTCACTCCCCACCCTCCAGCTACAACACCACCTTTCTGCTCAAGCCACCAAGGTCTCATCTGGCTCCGGGCATTTGTGTTTGCTGTTTACTTCTGCCTAGAACATTCTTCTCCAGAGGTTCAACTCTCCTCACCTGTCAAGCTCAGCTCAAATATCACCTCCTCAGAGGTTTTCCTGACCATCCTACCTAAAATATCATTTCAGCCCTCCCCACCCTACCAGAGCCCTTATCAGAATTAGTAAAAATTGTTTTTTTCCGACATGTGTTTTTTTTAATTTCATCTTTCCCTACTGTAATGTGAATTCCAAGAAGGCCTTCTTGTCCACCATCTCATTTCCAATCCAAAGCACAATACCCAGCTTATTGCTGGAACTTAGTAAGTAAGTGTTGAATGAATGAATGAATGAATAGATAGAAATTCTGCCCGTTGCTTAACTATTTTATCTTAACTGAGAGATATCCGGTTGTCAATTAGTTCCACTTGGGATCCAACAGGTTCTGTATGTAACAAAGAGAAACAGGCAATCTTAGGGCCAAAAGAACCCTGAGTCTCATAAAAGAAAACTCTTAAAGGCTAAGACCATGGTTATTCCAAGGGCTCTTTTTTTTTTTTTTTTTAAGATTTTATTTATTTATTTGACACAGAGATAGAGCGAGCGAGAGAGGGAACTCAAGCAGGGGGAGTGGGAGAGGGTGAAGCAGGCTTCCCGCTGAGCAGGGAGCCCGATGCGGGGCTCGATCCCGCAAGGACCCTGGGATCATGACCTGAGCAGAAGGCAGACACTTAACGCCTGAGCCACCCAGGCGCCCCCCAAGGGCTCTTCCAACAGCACTTGATGGGGCAACATAAGCCAACCCCTATACACAGTACCTTATTATTCGCCAATTTATGAGTGAGCATAGTGTTCAGGAAGTGTCCATTGCCAGAGGTGGTGATACTGGTGGACGGTATTTAACTTAATTATTAAATAAGAGGGAAGGCATATATATAAGACTACCCCATGCCTGTAATTCAATGCTCTAAGAACATGTTAAAAAAAAAAAAAGGCAACAGGCAGTCCTGGAAGACTTCCTAACGCCTGTGAATAAGGTACTTTATCACATAGTCAGTGTGAAGCTAACCAGTGGTCACAGGGCTGGAGCTGAAGCAAGGAGCATCCTTTTCCTTGGATTTTTGGTGGCAAGGCTGGAGAAATGAGAATGCACCGACAGCATACAGTAGGAGCTCTGTGGGTCCCCGGCCTCAGCACTGTACACGATATTGTGTAAGCAGGGAGACGGGCAGGTGAACTGGCAGCGCGGGCGGTGGAGAGGAACAGGAAATTGAATTGAAACAGGTCTACCCTTCCCCAGCCATGTGACTGTGGCACGTCCCCTTTTATTCTCTAACCCTATTTGCTCGTCTATTAAATGGGTATAAAAATTTGTCTTCCAGGGTTAGAGCTGAGAATGAGATTGGTAATACACAAATACCCAGCCACGGCCTGGCACAAATAAGCACGCAATAAATGTTAGCAATTATTCTAATCAGTCGGGGATGCTGTGATAGGGGGAAAATGACTCTGGGAGAGGAGGGTGTGGGGGGAGACTCAGATGTGGGAAAGATAAAGCACGAGAAAAATATGCTCTGTGTCCCAGTGGCATTTTTCACATCCTAAACTTTCTGAGAAGCCATGAATGCATAGAGCTCTCCACTTAGGACAGTGGGCTAAATTTCCTCACAGCCTTCCTCTGCAGAAATGGCAGAACTCTGGAAGTTTATCCAAAGCCTCAGTGACCACATTTCCATTATAGAACAAACCAGCAAGGTGTTCATTTCTTGTAATTTAGACATAGCTACAAACTATGGCCTAATGAAATGTTTTTACTGCAATCAAACGCTCTTCAAGGGGGTCTTGATAAATCTATCAGGAGAAATAACACATGCATTCAAAGACAGTACGTCCCTCCCTCTGGTTTCTCTGTAATGTACCTACCTATAACTTTTCTGAATGCTCAAAAGATAAATAAGGAATATGCCTTGAAGAGATGATGAATAGTACTCCCAACATTTTATGTTGTACAATACACAAAAAGGACTTTTTTTGTTGAGTTAATTTGTATTTGCAGGCTTTATGTCCAAGTTCAAATTTACCCTGAGAAATAGCTTTCCAATTCTGTACGTAACAGAAAAACAAGAAATTATGTGATCGTTCAATCTTCAAAGAAAATCAGGGGTAGGTGGAGATGCCATCAAGAAAATAAATGTTAAATATCCACTGACACTGTGTACTCACTGAGAAAATTACAAAGTCTGTGCCACACCAAAAGAAATGCCTCTATTGGGCGCCTGGGTGGCTCAGATGGTTAAGTGTCTGCCTTCGGCTCAGGTCATGATCCCAGGGTCCTGGGATCGAGTCCCGCATCGGGCTCCCTGCTCAGTGGGGAGCCTGCTTCTCCCTCTGCTTCTCTCTCTCTCTCTCTGTCTCTCATGAATAAATAAATAAAATCTTAAAAAAAAAAAAAAGAAATGCCTCTATTTTTCACCTTTAAATGAATGAAGTAGAGCACAAAATCATATTACTACACTGATGATAAGGACTGGGTAGATTAGCATCCCGCAAAGGTAGTTCAGTCAGCTGAGATGGTAGGATCTGAAATGTTTTTTTTTTTTTCCCATTTCTCTTAACATTGTTTTAATGTTTGTGCAAAAAAAAAAAAAGGCCTTTTTTTTCCTTTCTAGAGAATTCAAAGGATAGGAAAGAAATACAAATTGAATCAAATAAGGAAGGGTAATTTCACAGAATATTGCCACTGTTCTCTGAAAACAGGAAGCGCACAGATGTTCAAATAAGTAAAACCAAATCAAACAAACCACATGCACAGGGCTTTACCAGTCATACTTGAATGTATGTTACTTTCTCCCTTAAAGCCCCTCCAACCTTCATTCCTGACTTCATGTTCTAAAGCCAGACATCATGGTTCCTTTTTGCCTTCAGAAGCACTGATATGACGTTCCCACCAAGGGAATAGCGCCAGGCATTCAACACCCTGAGTGATAAGCAATATTCGTAAGTTAATCCAAGTCTTCAAACTCATCACCCTTCTAATGGCACGGCCCACCCCAACTCTTCCTATGCATTGTTGGCTCCTTTACCCTTTGGGACTGGGGGCGGAATGAGAGAAGCACAACCGGGGAGCGGGCATCCTAAGGCTTAGGGGGTTGGAAAGGGAAAAAAAAGTGCAGTTCGAAATTCTGCAATAAAAGGCAATGTCTAAAAACTCAACAATAACTTCCTTGGAAGATCTGCATGCATTCCTTTTCTTCTTTCAAATTCCCCATCACTGCACACCAAGCTTGCCTGCTAGTGAAGGTCTGGGAATGGGGCCATGGCTGACAGATTCAGACAAAGGATCGAGAGTTAAACAGGGGAGATGAACTTTCACCCACTTAAACGAAGAAGAATTGGGGGGGAAAAAAAAAGCCCAGAGCTTCCTCTCAGAACCATGGGCCAGCCTCCATCCATTGCTAAATGTCAGAGACCTGAGACGGGATTAAGGCCACCGTGCCTCCCTAGGCTGGCGTTCCCACCAGCTCTCCAGTCAATGAGCTGCCGGCCAACCTTCCGGTGGCACCTCCTCGGTTCCTCCTCCTCATTTCCTAACACAGGCGCCTCAACAGCAGCTCTCACCACCCGAATGCTAACTTGTCCCTTCGCAGTGCCCAACACAGCACCGCCCTTGGACGCTAAACCAGCAAGCTCAGAGAACTAGCAAGGCCACACCTGGCCAGGCAAGGCTAAACCAGAGGAGCATGCCTCAGTTTCCCTGTTGCTAGGGCCGATCACACACAAAGCACTAAAACGCCCAGCACCCCGTTTTACGACAAATCTCGCTGCAGGGCGCAGAAGCTGCTCGGCCCCTGTTCCGCGCGCCCCGGGAGCCCCCCAAGCTGGGGATAACGGGTGGAGGCCAAAGCCAGGGTTGGAGTAACCGGGGTCGGCGTCTGGGGCTGAGGTTCCGGTCCTCAGAGCCAGGCACGAGCCCTGTTGGGATGGGGGTCGGTAGGATGAAGTCGGATGAGCAATGGGATCCCCTGGAAGCAGGGCAGGCTCGGGCTTCGGGGTCTGGGAACCCGGGTCACACACGAGATCCCGGTCCTCGGAGGAGGGGGATCGCCCAGGGACCGCAGGGCGGGGAATCCCCCGGGAGCTGGTCCTGGGCCAAGGCGCGGGATCCGCGGGGGGGGGATGGAACCAGGTGAGGAGCTGGGACCCACGCCGGACGGCGGGATCTGGGACCCGCTGCCGGCTCGGGCGGTGGGGCAGGGGCGCCATCCCTCTCTCACCGCTGGAATCGATTCTTGAACCGCATTGATCCTCCGCTCCTCCTCGAGGGCCGGGAGCTCCGTCTCGTCCGCGCCGGCCGCAGGGCGCGCGGCCCTCATCGGCTTGGGCTGCTCCGGAGGCCGCCCGCTTGCCTGGCGGACCGCTCGGCGAGGCAAGATTGAGTGGGCCAGGCCGGGGATCGGGACAGGGCCGGGGCCAGACCCGGCGGCCGCTTAAACGGCCCCGGCGCCTCCCGCCTCCCGCCTCCCGGCTCCTCCGCCCACGGGCGCCCGCGCCCCGCCCCCGGGCCCGGCTCCACCCCTCCCAGCTCCGCCCGCCTGCGTGCGCCCACGGCCGCCAGCTCGTCACGAGATGGGCGGCCAATCAGCACCCCGAGCGGCGCGGCGGCAACGCTGCCATTCATGCCGCAGAGCCCGGGAGAAGGGGCGGAGCCTCGTGTTCGATGGGGCGGGGCTATGAGAGAGAAGGAGGGCTGGGAAGGCGGAGCACTTCTAGAAGGGGTGGAGTTGGACGGTGGAAACCGAAGAGGCAGAGCCCAGAGGAAGAGAAATTGCAAAGGAGGAGATAGGCCAAGAATCTTAAGAACAATTGTGAAGAACTCCTGTCTGCGTTCTAGTCCTGGCTGTGTGGCATTCCTTCATTCTTCACCATTCATTTCTTCATAGCTCCGTTCATTTATTCCTTCACCATTTTGAGGGCCAGCTCCGCCTAGGCTATTGTGCGAGGCTCCAGGGCAGTTTTAAAAACCTTTCCTTGTCTGCCACGTGAGAAGGTTGGTATCACTAAGAAACTCTGAGATTCAGTGACAACCACAAATGGGGGTAGCCTCCACAGGAATCTGTTTATTGCTGTCCCCTCCAATTTTTTTTTTTTTAAGATTTCGTTTATTTGACAGAGACACAGCGAGAGAGGGGACACAAACAGGGGGCGTAGGAGAGGGAGGAGCAGGCTTCCCGCTGAGCGGGGAGCTCAATGCGGGGCTCGATCCCAGGACCCGGGGATCATGAACTGAGTCGAAGGCAGACGCTTAACGACTGAGCCACCCAGGCACCCCCCCCTTTTTTTTTTTCTTTCTTTCTTTCTTTCTTTTTTTTTTTAATCTAGGCAGCTACAAATAAACCAAACACTAGCGGTGAATCGGGTCCTGTTCCTAAACTTAAACCCCGAGGGCTTGCTGGAAGAGACCTTCAAAGGAAAGTGAATGATGGATGGCTTCTTGATCCTTTCTCTTATCACTCCTGGAATTTAGGTGTGCTCCCCTCCAGGTAGCCAGTCCACACCCATCCTTCCCCATCCCAAACTGGTGATTCTCCAGGGGCTGTTAGACCGGCTTGTTAGGAGTGTTCACTCTGCATGCAGTGGAGCACTGAAAAGCTGGAAATTCTTTCACCCAGAATTCTAATTCCTTTTCCTTGAACATCTCCCATCTGGGAGGTGCTTTCCATGGTTATTTCATTAATTTCCCCAGAAACTCCAGGAGACAGGCATTATCTTACTCATTTCACAGATAAGGAAGCTGAGAAGTTTAAAAACTTGCCAAAGGCAAATCTAGGATTTGTACTCAGCTTTGTCTAACATTAAAACCTCCAATCATTTTGGTACAACACACTGCCTCTCCCTAGGAGTTCAAAAAGATTTTATTTATTTATTTTTCGAGAGACAGAGAGAGAGAAAGAGAGAGAAGTGGGGGGTGGGGAGCAGAGGGCCAGAAGGAGAAGCCGACTACCCGCTGAGCCGGATGTGGGGCTGGATCACAGCACCCTGGGATCATGACCTGAGCCAAAAGCAGGCGTTTAACCGACTGGTACCCTCTCCCTAGGATTTTTAAGTAGTAAGCCTCTTTAAAACAAAACCAAAACTTTTTTTCTACACCAAGTGAGAAATATGAGCATGGATTGAAAGTTTACTAATCTGTTCTGTCTGGCCCCTGGGCAAATAAACGGGTGACAGTGGGAAAGGTTACAAAGGAAATAACTAATAAAAATAGATTAAAAATAATATGAAATAATATAAGAAGGTTTAAAAAAAACAACAAATCAATGGATGCTAGGTCACCTTCTGTCAATGACTTAGGAATATACAAAGAAAAGAGGCTCTCAGAATGTGGTGGGGCTAATTAGGGAAAATGGTGTAGAAGAGAAGGAAGTCTGGGGATGGATTTTGAAAGAGATGATGGGCATGACTTGGCCCAGCCTTTTATAAGGGGAGAATGGCTTGAACAAAGATGTGAAGTGGTTAGTATGGGCAAAATTTGTGGGAGGACACCTGGATTTAGAAACACCAATGTGAATGGTATTTACCCAAGGGAAAAAAATGAGCGAGATAAAAATCAGATTAAATTGATAGAATAAAATCCTTGACCTACAGTGTCTCTTCCATAGAAATGCAGGAATATTAACTGAAAGTGGCTTATTTTCAACAATATGATCACAAATTTAAATCAGCCTCATTGTTGGTAAAACTCCTCCCCGAAAGTAAAAGCAATCCTCAGAAGATAAAAATAAAATACAAGACGGGGCGCCTGGGTGGCTTAGTCGGTTAAGCCATCTACCGCTCAGTGGGGAGTCTGCTTTTCCCTCTCACTTTCCCTCTGTGTTCTCCTGCTCTCTCTCTCTAATAAATAAATATAAATAAATAAAATCCTAAAAAAATAAACCACAAGAAACAGCTTTGAATTAATTACGTAAACACCTGCCACATTTTTTTTTAAAGGAAGGTGTCCATTTGGATCTGGTTCTGAGGACAAATCCCAGATATGTTTGCAAAAGAGGTATTGGATTCAACTTAGAGATTAGTGTTATGGGAGGGGAAGAAAATGGGAAGTTTTTCTGCATTAGCAGAATTACTGCATTAGAGAATTGTTGAGCTCAAAGACATAGTTGTTTCTGCAAAATGGTGGGCCCACATTTGCATGGGCACGGGCTGTGCCTAGAAGAAATAATTTGTGATGGACCGGGTGCCAGCTACAGAGGAATCTCTTGGGAGAACACCTGCTCTGCTTGCTGAGGGGCACCGAGTTTTTGGACAGGATGCTGACCATACTAGGAAGCACCTGGAACCCAGTCCTCTGGCTGCCACTGCCCAACCAGAAAGTAGCAACTCTGCTCAAGACAGTGATTTCAGCAGATAGATGCTCAGGAGGGTTGCTGAACTTCTGATTTCAAGTCTTATTTTGTGACTTGCTTCCAATCTGTCTCTTTACCAATATGACAAAGTAAAGCAATTACTAAAATGTCAATGGTCCCAGCCTTTTCCAAAGAGAGGAATGCTGTCTTTTCCTACTTAGTCTTTTGTCCACATTCCCTGATGCCATGATCTGAATATTTGTGGACCCCCTCCCCCCCCCCAAATTGATCTTTTGAAATCCTAATGCTCCATGTGACAGTATTAGGAGATGGGGGCCTCTGGGAGGTGATTAGGTTAACCAACACCCTCATGAATGAGATTAATGGTCTCTTAAAAGAGGCCTGAGGGAGTTCACTGGCTCCATCTACCATGTGAGGACACAGGGGGAAGTTGGCAGTCTACAACTGGAAGAGAGCTCTCATCAGAACTCAAACATACCGGCAATTCTAATCTTGGACTTCCAGCCTCCAGACCTAGAGGCAAAAAAAGTTTTCTATTGTGTATAAGCTACCCAGTCTGTGATATTTGGTAGCAGCCCAAATTGACAAAAAACACCTGACCTTTGAGGAATACCTGTCCCTTTTATGCCCAGCTCCTGGACTTCCATGATGAAAACAATTGAAGAAAACAAAGGAAGAAAGAGAGCCAGGAGAAAGAAAGGATTTAGGAAGACAAGCTATATTGATTTACACAATGAAGCTGAGTGAGGGAAAAATATTCCCTCATCGGCAGAATATTGGTAAAGGTATTTTATGAGGTGGGGAGGGGTTTAGCTAAGTGAGAGGGTTCAGAGAATTATGGGATATGAGAGAACAGGAAAGGGATTGTGAAAAGTTTTTCTAAAAGGTATGAGTTGGTTACTCTAATATTTTCCAACAAGTAAAGTTTAGGATCCCCCCTCCCTTTTCTTAAAATTATTTTCAGCTCCTCGGTTGTATTTATTTGAAAGTGATATCTTTCAGAGACTGGATCACATGGTAGGAGGGTGTACAATGGTTACACAGATTCAACTTTCTGAGTGCCTAATGTGGTCCTAGAATTATTGCAGGTACCGGCTTATTTTACCCTTAAGACCATCCTGTGAGGGAGATAATGTCATATCTATTTTATAAAGCAGCGAAAGCTTAGAGAGGCTTTGTGAGTTACTTAATTTTGTAAGTCTAAGTGAAAAAGTCACAATTTGAGCCCAGTTTTTCTGACCCCAGGAGGGATCCTTTTCCCCCGAGCCTCATCACAGTATTCTATTTGTTCATGACAAATAGAAAGTGCTGATGAAGAATCATGACTTCTCTGATCCCAGGGTCCTGGGATCGAGTCCCACATCGGGCTCCCTGCTCCGCGGGAAGCCTGCTTCTCCCTCTCCCACTCCCCCTGCTTGTGTTCTCTCTCTCACTGTGTCTCTCTCTGTCAAATAAATAAATAAAATCTTAAAAAAAAAAATCATGACTTCTCTTGCAGAGAGAAAAGCAGCGTATGCTGGTGTGAATACCCGTGAACATTTCTAAACTTGCACACACTGAAAGATGATGCTCTGAAACTTCACCTGCTATTGGATTGTGTCCAGGCCTAGTGCCATTAATTTATTTGTCAACTAAAAGCAACTGGGCCTCCTTGGACAAGCCCTTGCACCTGCTGTATAAATTTCTTCTACTTGGAAGGAACACAAACCTGAATGATTCTCTAAAAGCACAGACTGTTACTAAAGTTTTTGTGAATCCAGAAAAGGGAATTACATTGTGTATCACTCTTGTTTTTTAAGATTTTATTTATTTACTTGAGATAGAGAGAGTGAGAGAAAGAGCACAAGCTGGGGGGGGGGGACAGAGGGGGAGGGAGAAGCAGGATCCCCACCGAGCAGGGAACCTGACTCAGGGCTCGAACCCAGGACCCTGAGATCATGACTGAGCCACCCAGGTGCCCCCCATTGTGTATCACTCTTAAACATCTGTTTCTCCAATGCCCTACATCCTATGGGAGCTGCCATTTCTTTTTCTCCCAAACATCCCCATTTTCCCATCCAACATATTTTTGTCCACACCAGTGGGGAAGAACCTCCACCCCCAGAAGGTCTGTCTGTACATTTTCTCATGCAAAGAAATTAGGTCTTTCTTTCTTGG